GTTACGGGAAATTCCAGTTATTCCTCTGTAATTGATGATTACTTATAGTAATTTAACTTAGAGAATTATGTTTTAAATCTATGTTGAATTTGATTTGAAAGATTATATAAAAAAGCAAGTAACATTGCCAGATTTCTTTTGGCTATTTATAAGTTATAAAATCAATTTATTTGGAAATTTGGTTTAGAAATAGGTGGAGTTGTCTTCTCTTTAGAATTATAATAGAATTTTTTCTAAGTCATCTCCGAAACGAATTTAAATATTAATTCTTTTAATCTAGAATGGGATTCAAATCTACATTAACAAATTAGAAACAAATATCATTCAGAGCTCAATAGTTTAGTTATATATTATGTATATAGTTTTCAATTATCCAATAATATAGATTGCACTCAATTAATAATCCCTCCCATCTCTAAGTAATTTCATTTTAAAATATAATTAAATCTTACTTGTTATATAATTAAAAAAATTCTGGAATAATGATAAATGTCATATACGTAAAAATAAATTTTATATTTACTTTTAAAATGAAATTATTGCAGATTTCAAATTATTTATTCATATCTCTGTTTTCAATTTGTTTAATTTTATTAGTTATATTTTGAATTATAAATGCTTTAATAATAATTATTTTTTTTTAAATTTACAAATTCTATTATATTTAATAATTTGTAATACAATATATTTGCTTAATGTTTAAACTTATTGTATTAAAAAAAAAAAGATTCTATAATTGAATAAATTTCACAAAAAATGTTTTTATGATACTATTAAGACAAATTAATTTTTTTTTACACATATAGACATTACAGAGCCGTAACTAGGCAGGTGCAACAGGTGCATTCGCACAGGGCCCACTTGGAAGGGGGCCGAAACTGCTGTTCAAAAGAAATTATAGTTTTAAATCTTAAATTTTTCCTCCTTTTTATTGGCGATTACATTTTGCCTTATTTAGATCCTAGATGTCTGCTCACCAGTGTTCCCGGTGGCGAATTTTAGAGGGACGTAGTGATGTGGCGGAGACCGCAGACAAATCAGCCAAAAGTAGCGACTTTTGAAATTTTGTTTATTTATTTTTTGAGAAATTAAAATTTATGTTTATAGTTTTCAAATTTATAGATTTTTTCTCTACTTTATAGACCTCTCTGGCGACGACTAATATTATTATGATATACAAAACTGTATTTCTAGATTTTTCTACAGTGTGCAGAGCTAGAAATCTGTAAAGGTAACATTTTGTAAGAAAAATAAATCTGCCCGAAGATTTTTTTAATTGCTAAATTGCTAAATAGAAAACGTGGTAACTCTCGAATAAAATCTTAGTCTCGAGATTGTAAAAGGCGTGAAGAAATTCTGACATAACTTTTTGATTTGTAGTGGTACGCATATGTGTTGTATACCTCAACGGCGGATTAAGCGGTAAGCGAACTATGCGGCCTCGAAGGGCCTCGAAGGGCCCCCCGAGGTCTTTAAAATGCTACTGAAAAAAGGCTGATTTTTGCTTTCTCTATGGCTCTTCTTTACAATACATGAGTGTTGCTGATTTTTAAAAAAATCAGCTGCAGATCTCGCTATTAAACATAGCAAAGATTAAAAAAAGTACGAATTCATAAGTGAAATTGAAAGTTTTAAGTTTGAAGTAACGACTCTTATACAAAATATAAAAACTGCATCTCCGCTTAATATTCTACAGGCTCTTCATGATTTTGGTTTAATTGAGTCTTACCCAAATATCAATGTCGCTCTTCTTTCTAACTCTTCCCGTTTCTATTGCTTCGTGCGAGAGAAGTTTTAGCAAGTTAAAATTAATAAAAAATTTATTAAGATTAACTATCGGGCAAGAACGATTGTCCAATATTTCTATTATTTCAATAGAATACACTATCATTAAAAATATTAATTATGATCATGTAATTAATGAATTCGCCGAAATGAAAGCCAGAAAAGTTCAATTAAAATAAATCTTATTAAAAATCTATTGTAATATATTTGTTTTATTATTTTCCCAAACCAAATAAATTAAGGGGTCTAAATGCAAATTCTTGCACAGGGCACAGGAATGGCTAGTTACGGCTCTGATTAAACCCAATAGTTATGTATTAAAGCCAAAGAATTGCTGAATTATATCGGGCTATGGTAATATACCCCGATATAATTTGGCAATCGTTTCGCTTAATTTTTTTTTGAAAGCAAGTGTGTAATGTCATACGAGCACGACTGTGAACCGTGTTGAGAAATCTGTTTCAATTTTTAAAAAAAGAAAAAAAAAAGAATTTAATATACGAGGCGTGTCAAGAAAGTAAGTACCATTTTGGAAAAACTCACATAAAAATCTTTTTTCAAAACAAAATTTATTTTTACATGAAAGAGCATGTTGGAAACTATTTTTCTACATAGTTACCACCATTGTTCAGACATTTGTCATATCGGGAAACCAACTTGTCTATACCCTCTTCAAAGAAAGATGCCTCCAGTGAAGACAGCCACTGCTGAACATTGATTTGTGACAATCTCATGCAAAACAGTTTTTGAAATTTGTGGAAACTCATCACAAAACAATCTTATTGTGGACTGTCTGTTTTCAAGAATTTTCTCATTCACTTTTGCAACCAAATCATCATTGATAACAGAAGGCCGGCCAGTCTGTGCTTCGTCATGAACATTGGTGCATCCAGCATTGAATTGTTGTACCCACTTTCTCACAATTCCATCACTCATTACATCTTCACCATAAATCTCTATAAGTTGATGATGAATTTCAACTGGCTTAACATTCTTTGCATTCAAAAACCGTATTACAGAACCCACTTCACAGTCAGTGGGATCGGCAATCATCTTAAACATTTTGACACAGGGAAAAACATCATAATCTGGCTCTAATGACGTCACTGAACTGACAATCAACCAGAGACACGTGTACACAGGTGCTGAACTGTGATACTACCGCTGCGGTGGCGGTAAAACGAAACGGTACTTACTTTCCGGACACGCCTCGTACAAATATAAAATACCAGATTTTGCTGGAAATGATATCATTGAAATATAGAATTAAGCAAAAGATATATGTAACAATAAACCAAATGTAAATGAAGTATGATGTTTTTCTGCTTTATACTGAAACAAAAACATAAATTATGCATTATGTTATTTTAAAACTAGATGATAATTTTTATAATTATAAAATAACTTTTATTTCTTTAATAATCTATTAAATAGGAAAGTTAAAATATTATGAAATAGCTAATTTAATGAATTATTGTGAAATTGTTAAGAATTATTTTAATAAAGTAGCTAAGAGATTTTCCCATTCTAATTACAGTATCTTCTTGTGTATATAATCTGTGGATTATGTGATGGGGCAAGTTGCTGGTATATGGATTTTAAATACAGTCATGAACTCTTGCAATGGCTATTTCCAAAAGTGTAGGTTACATAGAGGGACAAGTTATACTAAGGTTTTTATTTTAGTTACTGTAAATTTCTGTAGGGTGTACATATAATCCTCTGGTGTAGGTTATTTGCACAAAAATGTGCTAACAAGTAAGTTAATTGTTTACCACTGTTTAGGGGCACATTATTACTATTATTCTTTAATATAATTATTTGTTATTCTAGTGTTCTTATTAGTATTTTTTACATTAAATAAAGAAAGTAATTTTGAGAAATTTATAATCTTGATATTTAAAATAAGTAGATAAGATGCCAGAACCTTAGCCAATTAGAATGGTAAAAAAAATGACAATTATAAATTACCATTAAAATTTATCTTCTTATTGAAAAATATTAGGATTCCATTATACCTAGAAAACACTGTATTGCTTAATTGTTTTCACTATGGTAAGAATGACGTATGTAATGAATGATGCTATTGTCAGCACCTATTTTGCTGGGACAAGAGTTGCTACAAACACTATGCAAGCTATAAGTATCAATATCACAAACATCCTGATGCTAAAAAATAAAAAATAAAACTGCAAGTGAAATATGTTTATTTATTTATTCATGCAAATTACAATTTTTATTGTTTTACAATTTGTATGATTTTACAATTTTTACAGTTGAAACAATTAACTGTAAAAATTGTAAAATCAATTGAAAAATACAATTTTTATGATTTTACAATTTGTATGATTTTACAATTTTTACAGTTGAAACAATTAACTGTAAAAATTGTAAAATCAATTGAAAAATACAATGAAATCAGATATTTTTCACCAAAATCATCTGTTTCTCTCTCTCTCCCCATTCTGTCAACTGACTGTACTTTTTAAAAAAGTTTAAAATTTTTAAAGTAAAATACAGTANGCAAATTACAATTTTTATTGTTACTTTTTAAATATTATTATTATTATTTTGGTGAAAGTATGAATCAACAAGTAAACAAGAAGAAAAATGAAGGATGCATATTATATTTTTCTATCCATTTTTGTCCTGAAAGCATTTTCATTTTTATTCAGGTAATGTTGGGACTCTAGTTTAGTTTTGGCTAAAGATTTTTATTTGTTCATTTGATAGTGTGAAAAATTTCATACAACTTATTATCATCATTTCATACAACTGTATTATCATCATTGCAATTATCAAGTAATGAATCTTGGATTTTTATATCTTATAGTTACACCAGAATTGAATAGTATTTGAATGTTTTTCTAGTTCTTTAAGTATAATTTTCTGTAAAATTTAATAATATAAGTTGAATTAGAAGTTAAAATAATAGGCATTTATTGGTGTCGAGAGAAAATTGTCAATTGTTCACCTGAAAAATTAGGTACAGAAATTTGAATTGTGACAAAATAAGTTGCAGTTTAGTCATCATCTGGAAGTAATTATAATAATAATATTGTTTACTACTTATTACTCTTGAACCATTGTTATAAAATACAATTTATAGTATTGGTTCAATTGAAAATGTTTCAAAGCATAAGAATTAATTTTAAATTGTTTTAATTTCTCTCTGAACTTTAACACTCATTTATTGTATGTTATTTAAATTTTAGGTAATGTTCATGACAAAAGCACCTTTATTCAAATAAAAACACCAATTTTAAAAGAGAGTTCTGCAGAAGTCAAAGACTCTAACGTCTGTTTTACAAATGTCAATATGGATCGACTAGACAGGCCTCTAGAATTTAAAACGACGGAATCTAACGTTACAAACAAGGTAATCCCGTCCAACGAAGACACAAATTTGCAGTCCACGGACAGAACAGAGTCTCTTCCTCATTCAGAGGACGGTGCCCGCCCATCCAGAAGTAAACGTAATCTGCTGGGCTTAGATTATAGTTCTTCGGATTCCGAAACATAAATTTTATTTTAGAACAAGGTGTCTTGTGTAATGCTGGATAATGAATATGTTAAATAGAGTAAGGAAAGTAAAATATCATAATAATTGGATTGCTCTTTTAAATGTTTTTATTAAATTAGCAATTGGTTAAATAAGGTACTGTACTTAGAAAATGGTAAGCATAACACTTGATATTGATTAAAACCTCACAAAAATAAACAGACCATACTGACAAAAAGCAATTGATTATAACAGTTATTGTTAAAAAATTTTTTTGACAAAATAATTTTTAAAATTTAATTGTCAAAAGTTTTATTTTCTTCATTAAATTTAACAAGTTTTATAATGCCATACATCAAATAATCATGCAAGATTAAAAAAGTACAGTGATAAATAACATTATTTTGGAAGATATATTCATTAATATTAACTCTTTTCCCAAACCTTCTTCCTTGTGCGGCAATAATCCGCAAGGATAATTTTTTTTTTTTAATACAAAAGACAAACTAAATGCGCTGCATAAAAATCTGGGAAAACGAACAACAGACGATACACAAAAGATATAGCTCACAGAATAGACACCTTTCAGATACCATCCATTAATTCCTGGTGTTATGGTTAATGTAAGGATTGCTAACTTTAATCGAAAGATTTCTTATTCTCCAATGGTTTAGAGAAGAAACAGAACTATAAGGAATACGTAGGACCGCACTAGTTCTTAAAATATAATTTTAGTATATGTTTCCATAAATGTTTAAAACTTTATTCCGTAAAATTTATCCAGTCTAATGCAACCAATAGAACTATTTCATTAAAAGTATCTGACAAAGCAGAAATTCTGCATACCATACATATACACATAAATATATTTATATNATTAGATACATCACAAGAAAAAGTATTGTATTTATTTCTAACCAAAACTTCCATTTTGTTTGTCAGTGTTTGTGACTTACCGTGTAGTTATGTCACTTTTATCATCACGTGTAATATATATCTTTTTTAGGTTAATGTTACCTTAGGTTCCAAGATGGCGGCGCTATGGTTAGGTTCGTTTCCGTTAGATTAGCTACATTTTTAGTAGATGTTTCTTTTTTTTTTATTTTGTTCAAGAACTACTGTGAATCAATAACTAGTGATGTTTGGCACTCAGCGGCCTGCTGGTGGCTCCCCTCCGGGAGGAGTCCTTCTGAACCACGAACAGTCGGAAGCACGGCCATCTTGGAACCTAAGGTAACATTAACCCTTTTTTATTTATATGGGTATCTTAAGGTCAGTTTTTATGCTAATGTTGCTAATGCACCATTTGAGCAAAAAAAATTGTTAAGGAAAATTTTTCTGTTAGCAAACCCTTTGTTAAATATTTCAAATATCACCACTGCAGACAGAAGGTGTCAATAGGAATTTATTTATAGGTCTACAATTTGAAAATTGCAGCCAATAATTACAACAATTTCTGGTTATGCTTTATGTAAGTTGTATGATATATATCAGTTTTACTAACAGAAGTAACAAGTCTATCTGTCTAGCATACTGTCTAGCATTAAGTTATCACAAGATTACTGCATTGCCTATCTCTTATGCCAAATTAATACATAATCAGTTCTTAAAAAATAGTCCAGTAATTAATTTGATTTTGCAGTTTGGGATGAATATATTTTTAAAAACAACTAAATTAAGAAATAATTATAATTATTTTAAAATTTTATATTGCTATTATTATTATTTTTTTTTTTTTTGTTTCTTTTTCTTTAGAATTTTTACTGATCAGGACACTAAATAATGGAAACCACAGGCATTTAGAAATATATACAAACATCAACAATAACATCAAAAGCACCCAATGCTTTTTAATATCATCCATCATCTTGTGAAAATAACGATGGTGTAAATCCTCGTTCGTGGAATATATATATTCCTTTTATATCCAAGGATTAAAAATACGATGCTCATTTCGTTGTCGTCTTTTTTTAACAGTAGATACGCTTTACTGCATATATACCGTATGCTTTTATTTCAGAAATATACGTATCTGTTAATACTAAGTCTGGAAAGAATGTCTACACGGATACTAAGGTGAGTGATTTATACCTTTGTTTTTTTTTTTTTAAGAAAAATTATTCTCTTGTTTCGTCTCTATGGTCCCAAAATAAGAACTACATTCTAATGTTGGGAGGTTTATTCTATTTGATTATTGATATAAGCAACTATTCTCGCACACGCACACACCACGTAGTGTAATTTTTAAAAAAAGTCAATAGCTGCACCGTCGTTGCCAACACCAATTATTTTGTTTTTTTTTTTTTTTAGCTAATAGAGAGGACACATATCGATCTCGTGGAAGAAATGATAAGGCTTCTACAAACACCTGAATAATTACACACAGATAGCTGTGGCCTAGTAGTGTAAATATGTAGAGATGGTGTCAGGTGTAAGGCTCTTGGTAAACTACTTTTTGTTTATATATCCGAAAAGAGGCACCGTCTTTTCCCTTCCATCTGGACTCGATCCTGCAGGCAGGCTTTTACTTTTTTCCGTTTTCGGACAAGTCGTTTGTTGATCGTGTGGCTAGGTTTTTTTTAACTCATTCGAATCTGGTCCCGTACTGGCCGTAATCCGGTATCTCCCTGTCTTACGCCCTGGATTCGCTCACTCCCGCCGTCTTCTCTTGGCGGCTGCTGCTTCCTGCTTCGTTGTTGCCTCGCGAGATTGCATTAGAGGGTTGAGAATTTCCCCTGTTCCGAACGCAGACGTAGACCGGTCTGTACAGTACTACAGTTTCTCCTTCCTCCATTCCCAACGTTCCATCGTATACCTGTCCCAAGAGGAATTCTGGTCCGATATACATTCCTCCCTCCACGTGTTCACAACACACTTCTGCTTACCGGAGCACGGAAAAGAAAGAAAGAAAAAACAGGTAAATGAATAAAAACACTAATTTCGTATTTTAAAGCTAAAATCATTATTTACATTTGCAAGTTAGTTGATACTTAGAGGATGCCTGGGTGAACAATTAAGGGTCTTTAAGCATCAAGCGTATAGGCAAATTTGCAGTTGATTTTTTACGTTAATAAAGGACCGCGCCCTAACCGTAAATTCGATCATACGTCATGCAATCTCGACGATAAAACGCATCCTAAATACGCGAAAATAAATTAGCATAATCTATAAACCGTACACCAATCGGCAGCTTCGGTAAATACGTTTGCGTTAACATAAATATCCCGCTAAGCTTCCTATTGGTCGATTTTAATTTGTGCTTACGTCGTCCAATCGGGTACTCGACTGGATATTTAAAACAGCAAACTGCCAATAACGTAAAGGTAGTTTTAAATTTAGTATCAACGCGGAAAGGCGATTGGTTAGTTATTTTTAAACTCATATTTTGGTTATAACGCTCTACCGAAGTTAAGACAATAAAAATCTTAATTTCAATAAAGCGTTATATAATAAGCAAATTAAAATGAAGAAAAGATCTGCGAACACGTGTTCGTTACCATTTGGGATGGACGTCATATTTAACGGGTCTTTTGACGTCATTAAGCGCGAAAATGACGTCTAGGTCTGCCGGTGACGTCATCAGACGGATTTTTCGAACGAAAATTTTCGATAACACTCGATGGCCGACAGATAAAACGGGAAAAATTCTCCATCCTCTCTTCCTTCGATAACATCGCTAATTAACTGCATTGTTAAAAGTGGAATGTTTTTATTTTCTGGCTTTGGTCGAATTATTCGATAGTTTGTAACGTTGCCGGTTCCTTAATTAACTCGTTAGTTAATCATAATTAAGCGGTTATTTACGCGTGCAAAGGCAATTAAGTAAAAAGATCTCGAGCCCGAAACCCTATCGATTTTACCACTTAAAACGCGCGGGAACAGACGTTCCCGTGCGTTTTAAGTGTTCCAGGTTTGTAATTTCGGTAAAATTTTTGGAGTCGAACGTGTCCCCCAAAAATCCAGAAATTAAATCTCGTAAATCGCGAGAGCTCTCCGATCTCCGATCGAGAACGGCTCTGAGAGCAAAAATAAACGACTGCAAATGATTGGTTAATAGGAAGATAAATAGTTCTGGAAGATAAGTCGATGCAGGAATCGAGAGGACCTTCCAGTAGTAACGGTAATTATAGAGAATAAATAGCTAGACAAATAATCGTTATCGAGCCAACTGGCATGTAGCGGCCGTTTAATTCCGCATCGTCCGAGTTTATTTGTTGTACCGAGGAAAAAAAAAACTAGAAAACGACCGCGGAGTTCTAGATCGGGAAAATGTTCTAGCATTTATACACGAGTACATAAAATATTCCGTAAAGATTAAGAGACGACTGCGAAATACTTTCATAATGCGTACTTACGGAATTTCAAAACGATAACTGTGTAGTTTTCGTTCTGGAGCATCGAACAAAACAAGAATAACGACTGCTCTAGAATTTCTTAAAGATTTTGTTTCAATTTTTATTTAGTAATTTGACTCGTTTACGATTGTTTAGGAAGTTTGTTTTTTTCTTTTTTGAAACTGACCTACATAGGGACCGTGTATGAAATTTAATTAGCCAATAGCTTTATAGTAGAATGATAAAGGAATTATCGGCAATTATATATGTATAATTGCCGATAATTCCTTATATATAACGATCCGGCGTGCGATTTTTGAACTCAAATTTTGAATGTTATCGTCTTTGAAAATATCGAAAAACATTAACGACTATTTCCCTTCATCGATTTCCTTTATCCTGTATTAATCACCTTCGAAAAAATGGTAATTACTCTTGCGTAGGCCTACGGGTCAAAGTTCATTCATTCGTAATCTCCGGTAAACCTGTTTTTTTTCTAATTAATCATATATATAATGTGATTTTTATCCCGTTGCGTGAACTTCCGAAAGGGATTATTTTTTAGAAAATCTTTCAAGATTTTTATTATTAAATATTAAAAAAATCGCGTAATTTTATTTTAGGGGTATTAGTCCGAGGAGTAAAAAGTAAACAGTCGAAATCCATTAATTCCAAGAGAGATTTCTAAAAATTACTTGGATTTTTTTTATTTGGAGGAAGAAAAATGTGATTAAAGTATTATATTTTATGCATATATTAATAATAATTACTCACCGTACTCTAACTTGGGTTGCTGGTTTGAATTGGGAATGCGGAAAGGACAAGTAGCTATCGTGATTGGGAAATTCATATGTAAATCGTCGCCGGATTTTTCCAGTTCCACCCAAACCTGAATCACCAGAAAAATATTAAAAAAATCAATTTTTTGTTTTCGTCTTTCGGATTTTATTCGCCACAATCGATAGGAGGGGGGGAAGATAATCGATAAAGAAAAGAAACTTCTACCTTTAGAAAATAGTAGATTTGGAGAAGGCGGCACACTCCCATTAGAGTGGGTGGCATGACGGGAACCACTAAACTGTTTGAACTATCAAATTTGGATCTGGTGTGAGGGTGTATGGCGTCACCTTTATATTCTAATACGGTTCTATTGACTTCTTTGTTGATGCCCAACACGCCTCGATCGATAAAAAACTCCACGTACTGAAAAATGGGTAGAATGTACAGCCGGAGTGTTTACTCTGGCCGGCAATTATTTTTAGCGCGCCGGAGATTTCATTGTTAAAATTTACCTGAACCAATTTGAGTCTGAGGAATATATTCTCTTCGCTCTGGTTGTCTATGTCCGCCTTCAGCCGGATGCTCTCTCCGCAGCAATAAGCCGAACGTTCTAAAGAACTTCTCACGCTGACTACACCCCTCTTGCAACATAGACAGCACACGGCCCTCTTGTCCTGCCCCGTTAAAGGTCTCTATCGGTCCAACAAAAGAAAACAAAATAAAGGTAAATTTACATTATAATAGCTGAAACAAAGATAAAAACCATCACAAAGGGCAACCTGCCCCCGACAATGACACTTCTCTGCATCGCTTACGGGACGGAGGGAGAAGTCGAAACGTGGAGGAGGAGGGAGAAAATTATCAATAATTTTAATGGGCGAACGAATAAATTGAAAATTTTCTGTTTTTAAATTCGATCGGGGAGGATTTATTTTCGATTTCTTTAAAGAATTATATTAAATCCGACGGCTTTATCGGAGTTAATCGATGTCGGTTCGATAGCCGCGCAATTATCTTTCAGTTTCCGGACGTTACATCTTTTAAAATGAGGAAAACAACGCGGATTTATATTGAGATGAGACGCAGGCGTATTTATGAGCGGGGAGAGATGACGGATTCGAGTCCGGATCAAAATTTACTGCGCGGCTCCGTGTTTGACGACGTTATAGCAATTTTACTTTCGAATAAACTTAGGAAGGAGAATAAATCTTTGCGGTAAATATCGGGATTGGACGACGTTCCTCCGTTAGAAATAAATAAATAAATAAATAAATTTCCCCCTCCCCATTTTACTAAGAGGACGCTAGCATTAATGGCAACACTTGGCTTCTCGATTGGCCAATGCTGTATTCTTAATTTTAACAATCGGAACGAACAATTTTTAAATAATTAACTAACTAAAAAATTTACCGAAAAAATTCGTACATCGAGTTTAACGAATGTTCCTCGAATTTAATATTCGACGGCGCCATCTTTTTACATTAAGAGCGATATACAATATATTCGCCAATCATCGGGAGGATTTTTTGATTTACTTTCTAAAAATATAATATTGTTTTTACGTCACAAATAGCGAATGTCGTGCGCTCGAATGCTAAATTCCAGGAGCGGTTAGTTCGTCGTCGTCTACTAAGAAACAATTCAATAAAACCGGAAATACTGGCCATTAAAAGAAACCGAACGAACGTATCGAGCATAAAAATTAAATCGTTTATCAATCGTTTCCCCAAAAAATCGACACCAGGGGGCGGTTTGCGGGCGGGCGACGTCAGACTGCGCCTGGACCTACGGGGGGAGGTTTAAATAAACGACCGCGGTAAGGACCGGAAACGGAAGTTACTCTGGGGCGAAACGATTAAAACTAATGGTAAAAAATATAAGGAAACTTACCAAATACTGTTCTTCCATGCAATCGATATGAGGTCCAATAATGGTGAAGTACTTCATGCCTTGCGGAGGCGAAGCGTACGGTATATCCACCGTCACTTTTACGTAATATCGTACCGTGCACGGTCTGGCTTCGAAACTGCAGGGCAATGAACTTTCTGGTAATTGAAAACGAAAGGGAAACGAGTGTCGACCTCGAGGTAAGATGGGCACGTTCCCTTCTACCTTATCTGCACGCGTCCATTAAATTCAAAATAACAACAACAGTCGTTTAATACAGGCGTAATCGTTCCAATTTACACAATTAACATAACGATAACATTCTATTTTAATATCGTCGGCGTTTCGTTCTTTTTCCCCCCTAAGAGTTTCCCATTATCATCATTTTTTGAGATGTCCCGAGCTCCACGTTTTAGTTACCAGGGGCCGCGACGACTGCCTCGAATAAAATCCATTTACATGAAGTTCGTCTCGAATTTTCGGATGCCGGAAACGGAAGTTGGGAGTTTCTCGGTGCCGATGGCAACGCGTGGCATCCGAACGTCGGATGTATAAAAGCTTTCGGCAATCGACGGCAGAGCAAAACGAAGATAAAAGTGGAAAACACGTTTACGGTCGAACCTCTGTATATTGTCGAAGAACGTCTACGAAAGGACCTTCGGTATCTGTATTCCATGATACTAAGGTAGTCTAGTATGTAAGGAAATTCTCTACATACTAGGGAATTCTATATAATATGTTCTAATACAAATTCCCTGGACAGGGAATTTTTAATAAAATTAATACCATTCGTTCTTCGTTTTCACTTCAACTGCAGTTTTTGTGTGACGAACACGCCTTATTCCCTATATATACGAAAATTTAAAGACAACGTCTACGAAAGGATCTTCCCCGTAGAGGGCATTAAATACAATTAATTCATCGTCGTCATCAAACCCCCCTAAAAACTCTCGAACCGCCGAACTCGATATAACGCCAGTTTTCGAAGCCAACAAACGGCGGTTTCGAATCGAGGTTCGATCGCACTAGCGTTTTAGACGTAGCTTTTACAACCGCGGAAGCCGGGTTAAAATCGGATTTATCGAAAACAATAGATAAGAGATATTACAAAATGGCGGATTGATCAACAAAATAAAAAAGTGCTTACTCCGCATAAATATAAAGAGGAGAGTCGATAGAGAACCAACCTTTGCCCCATATGACGTCTCTATCGTCGATAAAGACCTGGTCGTCCTTGACAGTTCTCCTATCTCCACTGACGACCACTTTCCATTCCGCGTGAGCTTTCCCCCTCAACAAAACGCGGATGGCTGAAAGAGGAAGAAAAAGAAATTAGAGGGGAGGAAACGCTTCACTCCGTCCGACCGGCGACTTAAACTCGTACCTTTCAATTTGAAGTTCTCCACGGTATCCAAGATCACGTGACCCACTAAAATTTCCCCGGCGTAGTACATCTCTTTTTCTAGACGGATATCAAATTCCCTTATGTAATCCATTGATACCTGTAAACAGATCAGTATCGTCCCATTAATTGATTCCGTTTTGCCATGTTCTGTATTGTTACATCAGCGCATCCAATGTCCGTGTCGTTTTTCCCTCCTACTGTGACGTTTGGTTCTAAAACCCGACTGTGTTAGTGACGTAATTATTCTGCATACCGTAGTTTACACCGGTAATGCTAATACTATACACTACGATGGGAGCGTAACCCGATAGGGATTGTTAGGAGGTCGCGAGGGAAAAACTAATACTACTCGATATACTACTACTGTTTTTAGTATTGTTATCGACGATGGATATTATTGTCTAAGTTATCCTCGTTACTGCTGTCGCCTGTGTCGCTACAGTAAAATGTCGGTCTAACAGGATTGACAACAATGTAATCCTTACAAAACGTGTAATAGCGTTAAGAACTGCAATGCGATAGCCCCTCGATATAACGATATCGAGTCCTCTATATAAGAGAGCTACGAATGTATACCAAACATTTTACGGTCGTGTTCTTTTGAGTTATTCTGCTATATTTTACGTGTATAACTAATACAACACAATATGTAAGAATACTTGTCATAAACAATAGAGGTCCGTTATATCGAGGGCTATCAAACTACAATTCTTATCGCTATTATTTTTGATTTATACCAATATATAAATCATATATAAATTATAAATCATACCAAAATTGTTAGCATTGTAATCGGAAATTTAACAATACTGTATAAGGTTAATGTTCGTTGGGCTGCAATTTGAAAAGATTGTAACCTATAAATTTCCACTGTCGTCCGTTTGTCTGTCTGTGTCCTTTCTTAATCTCGAGAATGGAGTTAGATAGATGAAAGTTGAGACCAGATATGGAAATCTTAGGGGCAGGAGATTAACTATATACGAACAACAGATGCAAACCGGAAGTCACGTTATTTTAATTCAAAAGTTTTCTCCTGAAATGGATGACAGGCACGACTCGAAAAGCAATATGTACTGTATAGGGGCAAGCCACTACTAATTTGAGATGGAGATCATATAATTTAAATAAAATAAATTAAAAATATGATTGAAAAGTATTGTCGTATTTACTGAAAAATTGTTTCAGAACAATTTCTTCAAACAGCAATTTCATTTCAAAAGTGTGACGTACTAGAATATTTAGGATTTAAACCACGTTTAAAATGTTTAATTTCCTTTAATTGACGATTTTTACACTAGTGCCACCGTTTTTACTTTTTATATAAAACTCATTACGCTTTCCTTCGCGTGTAGGAAACATTTAAAAAATCACGGATAGCTTACTACTACTGCAACTATAACGAGTTAGTTCTGTATTATTTCGGGAATTTTTAATTTTAACTTAGTAATTTAGCACCACAATTTCTACTGAAATCTCTTCATTCTTCTAGTGAGAAAGTAGCGAACGAATGACATTTTAACGTTCTATATAAAGAATTTTTGTAAATTGGATACGTTTCAATGCACCTAAATTACTTACATATACAATAATTCCTTACATGCTTAAACTAGCCTAGTATGTAGGGAAATATATAGAATTCCCTGTATACTAGGGAATTCTACATATTATACGCTAATACAAATTCCCTACGTAGGAAAAATTCCATAATATTAGCTGTAGCTAGTCTAGTTTCTAGGGAAATTCCCTACATACCAAGGAATTCATATAATATGTTGTAGTACGGAACTTTTAATAGAAAATTAATAAATGTCGTTCGTTCGTTGTTTTCCCTTAAACTACAGTTCCTGTACGACAAACACACCTTATTCCCTAAATATATACGAACATTTAAAGGATTCAGTATAGTACCACTAATTACTCCTATTACCACTCCCTATTACTGGTACTGTTTTCTATTATCATTACTTTAAGTCATCATTAATCACTACGTACCTTTGTTAATAATGGCACAGTAACGAATAGAAATAAAGGTACAAACATTCTTGGAAGTACTGTACATTACCTCCGAGACTCTTAAGAGTTATTAAAACAGTCGATGTTTGTACATACCTCAAGCACTAAGGCGATTAATTTGCTTCATTTGTCTTTCTATTAATTGTACAACAATTAACCCTTCTGCGTGATCATTAACAGATTTAAAGAATTAGACAGAGAACGTGGCGATTTATTAATTGCTTCCACAATTATTTTAATTAAGCGCCCGTTAAAAGACAATAAAGAGCTTGAGGATGACGATGTGCCGAAAATAAGGAACATTCCAAATTTAAACGAATGGCCACCACCCGGTTTATGCGAAAATAATGTCTAATTGACAATAAAAATAGTTGTAAACCGATGGAAAATTACTGGCACGCGTCTCCCGGTGATTTTCCTTACTGGGAAATTTCCCTGTAAGGGAATAAATATTTCCCCAAGTTCGACTGAATTCCAAAACTATGGGAAATTTTATTCCCTATCAAATCCTCAAAATTTCCCTGAAGATTCAAGGAAATATTTTATCCATGCTTGCAATGAAATTCCACGATCTTGCATGCAATACAGAAACACTTAGGGAAATATTTATACGAGTTTGGATAAGATTCCTAAAATTCCTTAAATATTTCCGTATAATGACAGATCACATTAAAGACAATAATAAGTGAAAGTACTCTTTATTTTTTCAGTAAATACGCGAAATTTATGTCCTTATGAAAATAAAATAAAAAACCCAACATCCCTTTTAAAATATTATTTGGCAAAGAAATCGAAACTAAATTTTCCTTCCATTTGCAAAAATTCCCCACATACTACTCTTTAGAATATTGCGGATTTGATAGGCGATTTCAATTGTTTGTCCCCATAAACCGAATACAATTTAAACTTTACTTTGCTTCCAAAAACCCTTCTTTATATCCCCACATAAAAACAAATATATTTTCAATATTTATCATACAAGGGAAACAAAATAACCAATTTTCTTTCACTTGCCGATGGAAAAAAATCCCTAAACGGGAACTTTATAAGGAAACTTCTACATTTTTATGCATTTTGGGAAATTAACGGGAGCTTCAATTTCTTTTATAGAGGAAGGATGTTTTTAGAGGGAAGAAAAACCGCCGGAAGGGAATTTTCTTTATCCCACTTGAACAACAATTAACGAGCAATTTTTCATTCTGTCACTGAGTAACTTTCTTTTAAAAACAAACAGTTCTTCGCATCAGCTGCAATGGATTGTTAGGAAACGATTTAAAAATGGCTACCGAAGCCTCATATGGTATTCATTTATGAAAGAGGGATATTCTTTTTCTTTCGAGTTACGACGAGATAAGAAGAAATAAAATAAAATATAAACTACTGCTCACTCCTCTGAATTCCCTTTATCTTGTCATTAAAAACAACAAAATGCAATAGTAATCATAATATGGCTACTCGTATTTGCGTTACCACAGTTTTCAGTTTCTTTAGGGAAATATCCCTAACAAATTAGCTTCCGATTAACTCGAATTAATGGCGTGGGAATCACATGATTCCATTCTAACAGCGTGATTGGTTTGAAAACTTTTTAAAATTATGTCGTGACGTCACATTCGTATCTCGCCGTTTTTTTTTTATTCTGTTACCGGGATAATTCCATTAAAAATCCTCCCCTCTGATTCTCCTTAATGTCACATGACCAACAGTTGTACGAATATCACGTGACACAGGATGATTCTAAAATCACGTGAGTTTCGGGGTGACCTTTAGCGAAAGGATGCAAATCAGGCGACCGAAGGATGCGTTTGTGAAATCACGTGGCTACCGAATAAAGAGGAAAAATCGCGTGATTCAAGAAATATAATCTCGCACATCGAGATAAAGGTATAATCACGTGATTCAACTACACCTCAGACAGTGCATTAGATCTTGTTTTGCGACATTTCTTATAATTTCAAAATTTTCAGAGATAAATAAATAACGGAAAATTTCCATTATCTCTTAGAATGGGGTATACTGAAAAAAGGGATGTTACAGAAAAATTTATTCCTTTTATCCCTGCAATCGAAAGAAAGGATTAAAAAGACAGGATATTTATTCCTTCATTCCGAGGAAATTGTGAATAAATCACATAATTTATTTACACATTTCTCTCAATACAAAGATTGGTCCACCGAAATAAATGACTCGAATGCAGCTTAGGATACCTAAAGTTTATTCAAATTTGCATATTAAATTTCTTCGAATCACGTGAGACCTCTATGACGCAAAATATAAGGCACGTTTTGATTACTGTCTTTTCCCCTTTATGCAAATTTACTTTTTTTTTTTTTTTTTTTTTTTGTTTCTCGTCGATGAAATCTCACGTGACAGCACTGAAATTTGCAATTTTACGTGACACAAGTGGAGAGACACGGAAGGAACATTTAATATTCAAATGTTGGATTTGTTATAATTGATTTCTGTCACGTGATTCTGAAACATTAAAGTGATATTATCGATAATCACCTATCGAAAGCGATTCGGTGCCAGCCACGTGATTGTAGAAGTTTTGAATTCTCGTGATTCGACACTCCAAAGAAATTTGGACTAAAAGAAGTCACGTTCTAAAGGCCGCGAACTCGATTTTAGAGTATTGAAAATGGCCACGTGACTGGCTTTGAACGCATGCCCGATCACGTGACACGCAGAGTTTGACACTCGCGCTTATTTCATTTCCAAATTACACGCTAATAACAAAGTAAAACGGAGTCGCTTACAGTTTTAATATTAAAACGGAATTTCCCCCTTCGTTTATCATTTAAACACGGATAAAGGGATATTTATTTAACCGAAGAAAATAGATCAAGTAAAAGAAAAAATCCCGTTTTATCCCTCTCTTCGTTCCTGAATTGATAAACGGAGATAAAAACGGAGCATTTATCCACATTCAGCCTTTTTTTTCAATTTCGGGGATAAAAGAAGGGATAAATGTTCTATTTTTATCCCTTCACGCATCCAGCTGAATTCGAAGAGGAGATTCATTCGAGATGTGACAAAGCAAAAGTGATGCCTCGTCCAATCAACTAGCGCGATTTCTCACCTGTTTCACGTGACTTCCGCATCGGAACGGAGGAGGGAAAAATTGCAGAAACCATCTCCTGAAAAAAAATCCCGTCTCCATGACAACATTCCACGTGTTTCCGTATCCTTAAATTCTACCAGTAACTCTAAAATTGGCGTATCATAAATATTTATCGAACATCGACAATGCAACGGTTAATTAGAAGGCGTTTTCGGTTCTGGAAGCATCTCAAAAATAGACAAGATAAGATTAACGAGAACATTTATTAGCTTACATACATCCTACTTGATTTTACACAAATTGCGAAATTATTCACCGACTTACGCGGTTATCGCTCGGTCCCACCTATCGCGTAAGTTCGGGGTATTACTGTACTGTATTACAGATAAAAATATAATTACAAAAAAAACATTAATAAAAAATGATTAAATAATTTCGAAATAATCACTTATTAGTCACTATTTTTCATCTTGATAAAATATCCCTAAAATTTTCCCCGAATTATTATTATTTAGGGAAATTTTCCATTTTATTAAATTCTTTAATTAAACTTTAATTGAAGGTAAATATTTTTTTAATATTTATCGTAAATAGGAAATAAACAGGAAAATTTAGGGACATTAATACCCCGTAACAATAAATCTAATTGGAAATTTAAGGCAATAATTTTATTTTAGATTAACTTTAGAGATACAAATTCCGAATGTCGAAAATATTTCAAACCTCCAAAAGAAAAAAAACACTAAAAGGACCAGACGACAATTAAAAATAACCCCCGAAATTCGAATCGGAAGATGATAAAATCCGAGGCGGGGGAAATCACCGAGGAAATAAAGGCAAGTTTTTAAAATAATAAAAAAACCTTTCTTTTTAACAGATAGGGATACTACGCCGAGTGTAATTTTCGATAACGTTTACAATCCCTCTAAAAATAGAAATCGAATTGCAAAAATTCGGTTAAGTAAAGATCGATCGAATCGCGTGATTCGGAAGATTTAAAGAATCTTATTTTCTAGTCACGTGCCACGATCGGAGGGTATAACAACACCAGGAAATAAATAAATAATCCCCTAGACACACGAATGGAAGACGATCCGGCCAAAGACAACTATTTAAGAGAACTTTCTGGAAACAGACGATTTCAACGTCAATAATAAACAAAATCTGATCAGAGAAAATGATTTTTACTGCACGAAATATTCCCTAACCATAAATAATCAACAAGAAAGTAACCATATAAATCGTTTAAATGTATGTACAGTACTGTACGTTTTTTAGGGCTTAAAATATTGAACTTGAATTTCGTTTAAGATTTTAAAAAATCTTCAAAATATCCAGCGACAGATGATATCTAAATTCCCTAAACACGGGAAAAAAATGGTAATAAAATTGAAAAAAGAAAACTCGTTAAAAATGCAGATTCCCACCCCCCTCCCGGAAGCACACGAGTCTAACTGATTAATCACTCGAAACATTTTTTAAAGCACCATCACACGTTGCCATCCAAATTAAAAAAAAATTAGTTGGAGGAGGATTTAGTAGTTTTTCCCCTATTTGATGAACGGTGGAGGTGTATTAGACGTAAGATTTTTTCATTAAGTAATCTGGGGTGATACGGTGCACTTAGATGAGACTTTGTGCTATTTACAGCAAACACCGATTAGATTAGAAGATTTAAGAGTTTTGTTATAAGCCATCGACCTATCGTTTGGTTGTTTGGTAGAGAAAATTTCTGAGGTTGGGTATGCATCATTTTTATATACCCGAAGCTGAGCAATAAAATTCCCCAAGTTTTCTGAAAAATTCCCTATAACTTTCAAGGTAATGTAATAGAAATTTGTTGCAATAAAAAAAATTATTAAATTTATGTAATGTATTAGTTCTCAAGTGTAAAGAAAATACTAGGTTACTGTTGTTTCGAGAAGTTCGGGAAATTATCAGTAATTTTTCAGTAAATATCGAACAATCGGAATAATTAGGGATATTTTTACTGATAATTTGGGGAATTTTTCGATAAGTATGGAAATTACATTACTTGGCTATTTATATTATTTGAACAATAGTAGCTTATGACATAACAAGTGTTACATAAAAAAGTTTAAATATAGAAAAATATTATTCACGTTATAAAAATATTAGAAACATATACAATAATAAAATTACAGTATTCCTTTTATTGTTTTAATTAAAAATTTATTTATTTAAAAGATTAAAACTTTATTCTAAAAGAAGATGAATATATTAGCCATAAAATTAAACGTATAGTGAGATAATGCTCTGCTCTATATCAGATCATAAAAAATTGATTTACAGTGGACTAATTTATAGCACAAAAGTAAATTTAAGTAATGGGCTTCCGAAATTAAATAGTTTAATTTCTTTTAATCTCGTTTATGATATTACATCAGTGGAAATTATAAAATTACTTACTTTTATATACAGTTTATCATTTTCAAAAAGAAACCTTCCTGGGAGGTTGAGGAGGAATTGAAGGTTCGACTGTATCTATATATTAAAAAATAATAATAGGCCTTTTTTTATACACGATACGTATCTTAGACGAGTTTTAAGGCCATCTCCTCAATTTTCTGTTTTACAGGAAATTTAGGCAAGGTAGAAATATCAAATTGCCGAAGAAAAAAAATGTAAGCAAGATGAATTGGAGCATCAACGTACTTAATATGATTGAGCTGAATAAAACTTTGTAGTTGTACATTGTCGAGAATTAACTAACTAGTAGCTAAATATGAAGATTTATCCAGATTTTTAAGCAAACACGCATATGTACTAATGAAGCCTCTTTGATAAAAGTTTTCTGAAAGAAACGGCAATAAAAATTTCATTGCAAATTATGCTACGAGCCTCATTACTACACAAACAACTTTTACGATAACGTGAACGACAGACGAACACCTTTCAAAAGAGAGCATAACACTGTTAACAGTTAAATATTTTCTCTATGTATACAGTTTCATAAGAGTTAGCTGGCATTTAATCTACCTTTTCAAAATGGCTCTTGTAACCATGGGAATTAGCACATCGTAATCGCAAGTTAATGCATTTTACATCAACCTATCCGCGACACAGTAATAATTAATTCTCTTCGATGGCGCAGTGTGCTTTTTTTCCCCTTCTCTCTCTCTCTCTTCCTCTTCTCACTCTCCACAACACTGATCGAAACACGTATCGTTAACCGGGTTACTAAACAAAAAGTATAATTTGCATCTTCGATTTCGAAGCTGCAGAATCGAAGAAATATATATATATATAATATAAATGAAAGAAGTATCAATGCAATAGTTCATCCTTTCTATGAATCAGCAAAATGGTTGTCATAGAAACGACAAAGTGGCAAATGCAGTTAAGCTGCTCGACCTGTATTGTAAAGGACAAAATGCCATCGAAGAGACTTTCTATCCAGTTTTATGTCGTTAAGAATTGAGAGATAATAATTATTAATTCTTTTGACTAAGTTAATTGGAGTGCCCGAATTTGGAGTATGCTAATTAAAGCTTTAAAAAGGTCCAAAAAGTCGAGAGAGATACATATATATCAATTAAAGCAAGCGTGCATGTTGTCAAATCAGATAAAAATCATTAAATTTATCAGATCTATGCTAATTCTAGCTTTAAAAAAATCTATAATTGTCGTTCTAGAATGTTTAATTATGTAGATAATTGAGATAATTGTCCTTTTTATATCGTTTACAAGGCTAATATCCTGGCAAAGACGAATCAATGAATGACGAGACGGATAAAGTCAATAAGAAAAAAAAAATGTAATGTACTGTATACAGCACTCGATCTTCGTAACGCAACTTTAAACGATGATGCAGTTGCTAGGCAACAGCATCCAAATTTTATTGTTAAGGATTTATTGGTATATGCAGATTTTATGCACAGAGCGAAATTAGACCTAACCGTGACAATATTAAGCTCACTCTAATGATTGTCTCTCACGTTTTCAACTACCGGGTTTAAATGTTAAATATTTTAAAAAACATGCCACACCCCGACGTTAAATATGCCACTTCTAATAATAAACTCCGATAGGAAGTAGATTTAAACAATTTCCTAGCATTAATATGTGTACGGTGTGGTCACAATATCGTGCTTCAATCGAGATTTTTGAGATTAAACTTCACTTTCCCGTATTTCTGACAAATTCACGCAATTATTTAAACCATTTTTTCAATAAAAAAATCTAGAAAAATTAGTTATAGAACGAACGGGGGTATCAGACACACGCTGAAAAGCAACAAGCTAGTGGCAAAAGAAAGAAAAATATGCCGCAATTTCGGGGTTTAAAACCTAATTTATCGCATCGGATATACGGGGAAGGGTTTAATAATTAATTAAGTAGAGAAACAACGTAAAAATTAGCATATAAAATGGCGTTAGAGTGAATCAGATTGGGTATTATCATTACAATTCGATTTATTTCTAGACGATATTATTACGGTAACCTATAAGTAGCCGTAGTAACAGGTAGAAAAGGAAAAAAAAATCGATTTTTAGTAGAGGTCGTCATGAATTACTCCTATTGATTCGTAACTTGTAAATGTTGAGATTGACAGAATCTCTCTCTCTACGCGAATCATAAGAGAGACGAGGGAAAGCGTGCTTTACAGGGGCAAAGCAAACATTGCGACAAAACGCCTCGTTTACTCGAATCGGATCCCTTTTTTAAATGGAATTTACGAGCCAATGTGGATTAGGTGACGCGTAGAATCGTCTTTTAGCGCATACACGCGCAAACAATCCACAAGCTAGACAGGAAGACATGTTGCATTTTCACTCCAACGCCACTGTGATGTATTGGAAATTATGGAATATTCTCTCGGTTACGTTTATACTCGATTGTTTACACGGTCTGTCGGGTACGTTGACTTCCACCTACGTAAGCCGGTGCGTGTTTCCATTTATCGATTTTTATAACCCTTAACCCGCTTATTAAACATAAACTGGAGTAAAGACTTACCTTTTCTTTAATGGTGCCGCATGAGGTAATGTTATAACCTAGTTGGACGTAATTTTGGTCGGCGAAGCTGATACGAAGTAATCCATTTTGCGCTTTGATTAAGAGGAGGAAATGGCCGATTTATTCGACAGAATCACTGATCAAACGTTCATTCCAACTGTAGATTACTTCTGCTTCTATACGACACTACCGACAGCTGTCGACTAGTTTAATGACGCCAGACGATATGATGGCAAACTGACTAACTGGAGGCGCCATCTACAAATTCCACACTTATGTATGACAACTCTCGATTTTTAAATTAATGTCGTCTGCTTTTTTTTCTTTCTTCCCTCCCCTTTTCCTTCGTAATTTATTTATTTATTATTTTAATATTTTGCGATTTATTTATCGAATTTTTCAAATATTAATCGGATTTAGTTTGTTATTAATTTAACAAAATGTCCGATTTTATTTTATTTTTTGTTCGTTGAAAATTTTAATAAGATATTCATATACGTAAAATTTTAATTAAATGTGCGAAAACTGAGATGACGTAAGATCCGAACCGACTCCTTCCCGTTTCAGGTCCAAATTATCTTATTTTATAATTTAGTTGTTAATAATTCATGTTTGCTCCGTTATATAATTAACGCGTTTTTCCGGAATATATGCCATTAATATCGATCATCCAATTGATATTAACGGCAAGTGGCTTGATGACAGAGAAACGTGGGTTCGGATTTCGGCGATTCATCTTATCTGTCTGGCTTCTATCTTTGAATGATAATTAAGAGTACAAGCTACATAATCATTGACATTTCAATAAATGTTGCGATAATTTATGAATTTCCACTGTTGTTTTCAAAGATAATCACTAACGTATCATACTATAGTCAAATGAAGGATGTTTTTTATAGTCATGATGGCAGAAATCTTTACTCTTCTTTCTTCGCAACCTTTCGGGAGCAAAATTGAGGCCTCCTCAGAGGTTAATCTGCACGACCAACCCGTGCTACAGATATTGAATGAATCCTAATCCTAATCTTTCATGGCTTCGTAAGAACTAGGACTGTTACAGAAAATTATTAAGGATTGAAATTTCAAGATAATAGAATTTCAGTTTCAAATCTTATCCCATGATTAATTAGCCCATCCGTGACCGGGCGGATGACGGTAGTCGGTTGCGGATTTCTGCCTCACCAGTGGGTTGGTCATGTGGAATTTTCGGGTTTTCTTCACTCTAAGTAGGGCCATTCTCGCAAAGTTGTTTTGATGGTATAAGGCAACATAACACGTGGACAATCCACCTAAGTATTGAGCTGCCATATCCCATCGAACCAAACTGTGGTTTAAATTGCTTTGTAATATTTTTGAGGATAATAAAGTTACAAGTTTAAAATTGTTATAAATATATCACTCATGGAAAAAATATTGTTTTGATTGCATTGAGATATAGAAAAGATAGAAAAATACAAAACCCCAAGAAATCTTCACTGCATTATGCTTAATTAACAAGTGTATAATACATTGCACACTTGTTAATAATGGCTCACATGTGTAAATCCATTTCAAACTGCTTTTCCACATCAAAAATTTTATAGAAATGTCATGGATTCAAGCTCTGTTCCCATTGTCTAAAGTTAAAAGAAGAAATATAATAAAGAGAATGGGATTGGATAAGGCAGCATTTCTCAAAGTGGGCTCTGCAACCTAAATTCTAGGGTCCTTGAATTTTTTAAAACATTTTTAAAGTTAACGAATCAAATGCACTGTTTATTTTATAAGTATTTTTAAGTTAGTGGTTATTTGAGAAGTCAGTATGCCCCAACACTGTAGTTGTCACTTGCTCTTATTGCCCACCATTCATACAACTGAGATTTCATCAAATGATAAAAATATATATATTTGTTTATTAACAAATAGTTGTACACAATTATACATATTTTAATTTAATCATTCAATGAAATAATAATAATAATAAAACATTCATATCATATAGCCTCATTCTTTCTCTGTTAATTGTACAAATTTATAGCAAAAGATGCAGGGTCACGAGGGATCTGCAAAAAATTTTCCCTTCCTTAAGTGCTCCAATTTACCAAGACCAAGATTGGTATATGCTGTGATGCAATGCAACATGTGGGAAATCTGCTGAAGGGTCGACTTTTATGGAAAATCAGGAAACTTCATGTAGTCAGCAAGTTGATAAAATGCAATTTCTCAATCAACCACCACTGTTTGGTAGTCTTACCCACTAGACCAAAATTTGGATTACAAATCAAGAGATGTCATATTGAGTGTTGACATACAAGATTGTGTTATTAATTAAACACCTGGCTTTTTTCCATCTTTATTCAGTTGATAACACAATCTTGTGTTCAACACTCAATAAATAGTAAAGCACGGTTTCAGAAAACAGATAAAACAGAAACACGGTTTCAGAAAACAGATATTGTTTATTAGTGATAATCCGGGAGCTTATCAATCTTTATATGATAATTTTAAATGAAGAATTAAATAATACATCTAATGTTTATAATGAGCTGTACTTGACTTCGTAGCTCATTATAAATATCAAAAATCCCATTTAATTGTTCATTTAACTGCCAATTTCCCATTGCAGATTGGCACATGTGAAAAAAAAAATAATGGCATTGTCTCTCAATCTGTATTTTTCTCTTGCTGATTCTAGGTGGTAAGGCATAGAGTCCATTGTCACTCAAATTTTCTAAACCAATCTCGACTGGTGGTACACGTACTACCGGAGTTACGCAAGAAGGATCCATTAGTGCTCCATTAGTCTGTACGCAGAAGGCTCAGATAGCAGGCAAGCGAAAAAAGGTTGAGAACTGCAGTTCTAAACTGTTCACAGTCCGGAGAGATTTCCAATTGAATTTACAATATAATCATTTTATGGCTTCTTGATAAAAAGCACCGAGTTCAGCGTTAATACGAATTTTTCTTATATCAAGTCGCACAATTAGTGCGGTCGCTCCTCAACGCATGCGCTGCTAGTCGTGTGGATTTAAAATATTTCGAACGCCCACAAAAGCTTGTTGCACGTGACCAACGGAATTACCAAACGTTATAATTTAGAAATTGAAAAGAAACATTTTCCGTTTTCTACTTGGAACACTCTGCACGTTTTAATTTTCAAATTTGTTCTTTTTCGCCTGAGGACGACGATATAATACTCATCGAAAGTACTTGCGATATAAGAAAAATTTGTATTAACACTGAACTCAGTGCTTTTTATCAAGAAGCTATACAATTTTGGCGTGAGTTTTATTTATCTATTTCTAATCATTTTATGATTTTAAACTGGCAAAATGAGTGATGTACAAACGAAGCAAAGTTAAAAACTTCTTTATTTGTTATACAAGTTCATCCACAAGCTCTATCTTTCTATACTACAGAAAGGAAAACAAAAAACTTACAAATATTCAAGTGAGCAATTAACATTTAGGAAAATTTGACAATGCAAATGAAATGACAAACCTGACTCCAATGACAATGAGTGAATTTTAAAAAATTTCTCGACAATTTAAAATATCAATGAAAATAAATGTGCATACAATATACAGATGATATACATAAGTATCTATAATGGATATTCTTTCAATAATGAATCTCTTGTATATACATTGACTTAACTAAATGGCATAAACACATCTATGAAATTAGGAAGCGCAATTCTACATTACAGAAACTGTTTGCGTGTTAAAAATACATTGACGATAGTGATATTTTAAAGATACTGTTATACTGAAATTCTGTGAGTAAAAGGAGTCTCTGTAACTTTCTAATAGGTTTGCCGAAAATGCCAAAATTTACTTGCAAAATTCTATGACTTCGAGGACATTTTCGAGTGATACTTATGCAAGAAACTTTCACCTTCTCTAACATTAACAAAACGAGTCTATCAAATGGCCATGTGGAAGGTATAAAACTCAATTTATTAGTATTTGAATGATAAAGTAATTGTTTCACCGAATATATCGGAATTTTCTATGGAGTGAAGTATAACTCGAATGGTACTTCTGCCGCATCCAACATTCACCGGCCAAGAAGTTCGTTTACAATAAACAAATATACAGCTTATCTCATAAATTACTCGTTTACAACTTATCGAGCTTGTTAACAATTGATCTCATCAAAATTTTCTTTAGAGAACTTTGATTTACATAATGCTCTTTCTATCACAGGTGATCCCTGTATCTGCGATCCGGTCGACTCGGTGGTCTTGCTGTTCTTCTGAGGAAGTCATCTACGGAACGCTCGTACTGGAAATTACAATTAAATATCTTTATTTTTTTCTTTCTATTAATGTATCCAAGATGATTTAAACGCTATCCTTATTTTAAATGTTATTAAATATAACTCACAGCACGCTTATCCATTGGTCTGGGGCGAAGCGACATGAAATCTGGATGATGCAGAGTTCTTTCATAATAAGGTGGGGGCTCTAAACCATATGATGGCTAAAAAAGACCTGGTTTGGCGGTAATTGCATTTATCCTTACTTTTTATTCTTCGGGTGTAAAAAAAAAAAAAAAGTGATTTGTACTTTTTATAATAGTAAACAATATACATTTTTATACAAAAACTAAACAATTTAATTATATTGTAAGAATATACTACTATTGCTTAAAGGAGGAAAAAATGTTTTAGAGAAATAATAAACTGAAGAGGATTATTTAAGTAATTTTGATTCCCTCAAACATAAACAGGAAGAATTTAAATATTTGATGGTGAAAATTTTCTTATGTGGCATCAGACCTGCTCAATCAAGTGATTGCTTAAGTGGCATAATGAGCAGTCAGAAATGTTTGAGTGAAAAAATAAATAAAAGAGTGCCAATGCTAAAATAGTTGCCAATTGGCAATCATAGAATGCCATGCCATACTGGCTCAATGGTAACTTCCACCAAGCTGGTACTGTATGGCATTTTATATTTACCTAACTTGCATATTTGTTTTCATCACTCGATAAACTCAGCATCTCCATTTCTTTACAAATTAATCACCAATTCTGTATTGACATTTTTATTGTTTCCAGTCTCTATCTTCTTTCATCTAAATTTTATTTTTCAACGGATAGATGTATCTTGGAAGTTTGTTCTGACATTTCTATTAGCCATCAATACCACTATCATCTTCCATTTGACTGTTTTTTTGTAAAAATCTGTCATCATCATTTGGTCTAAAAAACATTGAGTCATCACACTAAAATCCAAAGAAACTAGTCCTTGAAGGAAAAGAAGGATAAATATCTCCAATGTGTATCAACAGAATGATTGAGGCAGTTAAGATACATGCCTGTTACTCTGAGGAATCCGGGTTTGACTACAGGCCAGATTACCAGAAAATTTTTTGGCCGTAACCCATCTGACCCCACTCCTCATTGCTCAGACGAATCTGCAGATGACATATAATAAACATATTCGCAATGCCCCAAAAGAGGGAAATGGTTTTTTAAATAAAAAAACAGAAAAATCCATCTATAGAGAAAATTTCTGTCACTTTTCTGAGTATTTCTTAGTTTTCTAAATAACACTCATGACCAGAGATATAAAAACAAATCACTATATACGAAAATCATCCAGAATGTCTAAATAATATGTACATTTTCAAATTCTATTTAATAAGAGTGTTAGAAAGGCCAATTTAGTACTTACAAGCTAATACAAAGACTAGACAAGAAGCATATCATAGTATTAATAATAGTGTTTGTGTTTTATAGTTAATTCATGACATACACTACAGGAATAAAAATAAAATCTTAAGTGTTACTACTAGAAGACTTTTGGAATATTCCAATTTCCTAACTTGTAAAAGAATCAACACATTTTCCAACTTCTTACAATAAATTTAAGTAAAAAAACACTTCTTAATAACTTAATATTATTTAAATTTGATTTTAAGAAATATTTTTTAAACTTAATCTTAGAATATATATATATTGTAGACCTGATATAATGTAACTCAATGCAACAATTTTAGCAGGCAATTTTACTCTTAAATTTGAGAAAAGTTCTTACAGAATCCAAAAATATGGTACAAGATTATATTCTGCTCTAATAACGGTAAGAAAAATACAATATATGCTCAATACATACAACATGGAACAAGTTTTAAGACATTGTTGCCTGTGTTATATTGATTCTACAGCATGTTTGTTTATGTACAGTAAAATGAAAAAATGTTCATGCTTAAAATATGTTTAAGTCTGCAAATCATAAATAAAATACTGAAAAACAACTATTTGTTGAATATAAATGTGTATTTTTATAATACAATGATAAACGTTGTCCATATCTAATATAGTATAGCATTAATTTTATGTTAATTTAAAGCATAAATAAGCATATATTAAATAAATTGCATAAATTGTCATCTTGAGTAAAATTAAGAATGATATAATTTATCGAGACACTTACCGGTGCACCAAAGGGGAGTGGCGGCAATGGCGGTCTCTGATGATGGAATTCTCTCATGTAGTCGGCATACTCCTGCAAGAAAAGAAGAGAATTATTATTATTTTTATATTTATTTTCACTTCTATCTTATAAATCTCACAAATGGTGAAGAAGTTGCATGTCTGAGTTATATCAATGTTGCTTACATTGTCATCAAAGATGGCAGCGAGCATACAGCAGCGAGTTAAATTGAAGCATGGGCAGCTGCTTGTAAAGATGATCAGAAGGCTAAGAGACTGGCAAAATCTGATCTCAACATCACTTTCAACACTTGGCTTACAAATGTGGCTAATTCTCAAACAGTGGGCTGCAAAGATGGCACATTTTTCTGTCTTTGTAGCCCTCTGAGAATCATTGCCCAAATAATGTTTATTTTGTTTTATTGGTAGTTTATCTATTGTGTTCAATTATTTTGCTAAAATATGCTACATTACAAGCATAATGTATAAATCATATTCATATTCCATGAATTAAAAGAAATTTAACTGCAAACAAGATGCATGAATTACAAATTATATTGAGCTGCATTGAAAGGAAGTATACTGGACATATCAATGCAATGTGCTCATTGCTAGATTAAATATACTCCCAACTAGAAAATTTAACCAATTCAAAATACAGTCAAATCCCATTTACATATTTTTCAAGGAAACTGAGAAAAACCATACAAGTGAAACTACTTTTGAATTGCTTTCAGAGCAAATACAGTTATCACAAAAATATGGTGCAGTACAAATTAATTAACAATGTACCTAAATTTGTATGTCTAATTCTTAACAGAGAAGTTTCGATTTACTATATATATAACACATTTGAACAACATATAAAAGGTTACGCAAAACAGTGTGAAATTAAGTTGTGTATTGTATTTTTAAAAAATTGACTAAATTTTGTTTGTTTTTTCCAATGGTTTTGTCATGCACTGGCACAGTGCGTAACAAAACAGTTATCAGTTGTCTCCTTCTGCCAAAACTTCAGTCACATGGAAGAATAAAAAGTAAGTCATTCTGAAGAATAGCTCATATTGATAGCAAATAGCAAAAACGAATGAGAAAGTAATTTTTATTCACCTAGCAAAATTGGTTTACACTACAAAATGCAGAAGGTGAAAATTTTCAATTTGTTGGACTGTTGTAGCAATTTGCTAAACTGAAAAATTTGTTGAAAACAGCATCCCGTGTTATGTATAAGTGAAAAAAGTGCTGTATAATACCAAAATTATGATATATAAATGTGAAGTTGTATAAATTAAAAAAGTATAATTAAAGTGTTTTATAATGAAATACTGTGCAGAAAATATTTAACTCAACTAGCAGAACTCCAATTATCCAAAATAATTTGTTCTGCAGATGTTTCGGATAAGTAGATTAACACACAAAGAATGAAATTACAGGGTAGCAGTACAGTATGTATTTACCAATGTGCAAGTAGCATCTTACTGATCATTTGGATATATCACAGCAAATAGAGAATTGCAATGTGATGTCAGTGGGAGAGAGAAAGAAAGGCAAGTGGTGGTATGGATGATTGGACATTGTTAATTTGGTCTTCAGATAATTGGAGTTCTATTATAATTGCAAAAAAAAACATACAACTGAAAAATGTATAAATGGAATTGACTGCATTTGTATTAGTCAAACTTTCATAGCAAAATAGTTTGTATAAATATATTTTATATTTTCTAAAAATAAAAATATAATCAAATCATCGTCATTGTCCCTCTTTGTCCCATGTTTCCACTACTACCCACTACCCAGTTCTATTTTCTGTCTTAATTGCTCTTCAACTCTTCCCGAACTCTGACAATCATCTTTGAAAAATCAATCTCCACATCTTTGGATGTCTCTTTTTTCTTTGTTTTTCCAGTCCAATACATTACTACACTGCAGTAATGCCATTTTCTGGACATCAAGAGCACACAGAGGATGTTGGTATATTATAAAAGACTTATTCAATATAATGAATTACAGATTTGATATTAAATAGCATGTTCAAATGATCATCAAATGCTGATATTTCACTTAATTTTTCTATAAGAAATCAAGTAAAAGTTACACATTTACTTACTCCATTCATAATATCTCTCCTTAAATAACGATCCAAAGATGACCTGAAATACATTTCCAAAAAATTTTAATAAAATATTAAATTGCATAAACTCTTTTTTGTTCATTTGAGAGTAACAAAAATATTCTTACCTATCTCTGCTCAATTCTTTAAAATAAGCTAGAAGTAAGAAAATAAATCATTTATTTATATACTTTATAATGTGTATAACATTAGTTTAATAGAGATAATATACGAATTTCAATATATAAATTTACATAGTCTCCAGAATTCTATCAAATTTGATTTGATTGAGCTATTAAATTGAGTGTAGCTCAACTAAACTGAAGTACTGCGAAGGTCAGTTTATAGTCCAATGACAGCACAGCACCACAATAGTGAAATTCCACTGTTTTCTGTCCTCTGTTCTGCTAGAAATTGAACTATAGATACATATTTCTGGTCTTGTAACATGACTTCAACTTTGACATTTGATGTCAACACCACATTCTACCAAGTTAGCCGTCGGCCAGAGTTTGATCATAAATTGAACGATATTTTTGTCAACTCCACCCAATGGCTAGTGACCAAAATTCCACACTGCCGTTGGACTATAAACCAGTCTTGAGAAATATATTAGTAATGAGATCCAGTAGCAGATCAAAAAATCCTCTGGATTTTTGCATCCCCTCTAAAGGATGCAAAATCCTCTGGGATGCAAAATCCTCTGGATGAGGGTGGAGATGTGTCCTATGTACCCCCAAAATTTACCCTCCAACAAGATCTATATGCAACTTTAAGTTTGAAATAGTAAAAGTCAAACAAATTGGTGATAACTGTGTTATTTGCAATGCAAAATTTTACATTTAGTAATTTACAGATACCGAAGGAATTTCTAATATTTATAGGAAAGATCCATTAACAAATCTTTGTTATGTTTTATGAGAGTGACACACTATTAAGATTTGACTGTAATTTATTTAAAATGTCAAATATGCCACTGTCAGTGGAATCAAACCTTTTCTATCTCATTTCAAGCTTAAATATTGCAAGATACACTTAAGTGCTAAGCACTGCAAGTAATTAAGCATTTGTCAATAAGAATTATTCATGAAAAACTGAAAACTGTGCATGACTGGAGGAAAAGAATTAGAATGAGAGACAAATTCCAATTCATGCATATTGGACATATATTGATACTTCACCAGTTAATTAAAAGTTGTTTTAAAAATATTCTATATATGATCAAACTTTCAATAATTCCACTTAAAAATCAATTTGGACCTTAAGGCAAAAGCAAGTGTAAGTAAAAGTTGTAGAATATTGCTTTCAAGATAAATATATTTTAAGTACTTTCTCAAAAACATTCTCTAATTTTTAATTATAAGTAAATTACGTTAAAGAGTTTTATTGAAGTTTGTTCTGTAAAAAAAATTTTTTTAACCCAAATTATTGTTGCGCCTCCAAACATCTCGAAATTGTTTTTTTTTATTTAATTTAAAATTCACTAAAGTATACAATAAATAATTTTAAGCACATTATAAATAAAAATATGATTTATTAAAGTATTTTATTTGATAGGGAATTCTTCTTTAAGCTTTTTAGATTTTATCTACTACTGCCAAAATGCAACCTAAATTTTGAGTTACAAAATTGTTTTCTATTCTTTTCTCGATAAAGACATCTATCCAGATACATTGCATGCACATTTTTTTTGTGATTTTATGCCAAATGTACAATTTGAACAAATCTACTACACAACATTTCAGCCTCGCAAGATCTTTCAGGACCAAGAGCACTTACAATTATAAAAGATTTCACATTTGTATTCTGGATTAATGTTTGTGTTTACATCTAAACAAGAAACATTGAGATCTAATTCAAACTCTCTCTCTTAAAGCATAAATACTTTTTAGCAAACCTGAGTGTCTTCAGTCTGGCATAAGGAATCCACAAGAGAAATACGAGTTTGAGAGACAACACTAGATTACTATTAATTCTAGTACTTTTTCTTGTTCTTTGTTTCTCTTGCAGTGTGCTTCAGATACATAACATTGTAACAGATCCTTATAAACACCCTTACAAAATGGATTCTGCCCATTTGTAAGGATGTTTATAAGGGTAAAATCTAAATAGTTTTCAATGAGGATCCATTAGGAATGCTAACAATTAAAATACTTTAATAAATATTTCAAATAAAAATAAAACATGTCTCGTACCTTCGTGGAAATCGTGCCTACTGTGTTTCGATCTACTAGATCGAATGTCGTAACTCTCATGTCTCCGTCGCCGTCTGTAGAAAAGAACCTTGCTATAAAAATTTATAAGTTTCGTTGGTATGCGCAACCAGTAAATTAGGACGTAACAAATAAAATGCAATTTATTTTATTCTTTATTAAGAAAAAATANTAATAAATATTTCAAATAAAAATAAAACATGTCTCGTACCTTCGTGGAAATCGTGCCTACTGTGTTTCGATCTACTAGATCGAATGTCGTAACTCTCATGTCTCCGTCGCCGTCTGTAGAAAAGAACCTTGCTATAAAAATTTATAAGTTTCGTTGGTATGCGCAACCAGTAAATTAGGACGTAACAAATAAAATGCAATTTATTTTATTCTTTATTAAGAAAAAATAAATATATATTTTATATATAACATCCTGAACATCAGAGGATTTAAAAGCATTCTTATATTTATTATATATGGAACATCTCATTACAGAACCACAATGGCAGTAAGAAAAATACTATATTTTGTATAATCACCTTTATATTTAAAATGTTAAAAGAAAAAATCTCAATATTATAATAAAAAAATCATCATCAATTTAGAAGTATTTTTATATAAAATGACAGTTCAAATTTTATCACTTCTTTGCAAGAAATTCAGAAAAATACATCAAATGATTGATTTAGTGATAAAATCAATAGTTAGATAAATATTGCATTTTTGATAAAAATCAAGTTTCAAAAATCCTATTTTAAAAAAGCAAAATGTTTTTGGATTTATTCTATCCTGACATCAGTTTTTGCTTGATTCAACATTGCAAACAAATGTATTTAAAAGAAAAGCTTTCAAGTCTTTTGTTGGATTCATTAAGCTGTAGCTTGATGCCTGGAAAAATACCGTAGTATTTTTTATTTTTTTTTACCAAAGTTTACAGTTGCACATCTTTGTATGATACAAATGCACTGTAGCTGTGAGACAGCGAGAAATAGACAAGGTCAATGAAATGATAAACACTTCACTGATAAGTAGAAAAACAAAACTCAGGAGGTAGAGAACATGAGAACAGAATGATCATGAAAAGACTCATGTTCACAACAAACAAGGATTTTTCAATCAAAATGAGATGGTTTCTTTATATGGCTTCAGAAACAGGAAATTATGATCTTAATAAGTCAACTACCACAGTAAAAATGTATTTTGTTTGTTTTTATTATTAGGTACCCCAGAGTCAAGTATGACATCTACAACAAAGTTCCTTACAAGATGTCTTTCACACTATAATGCTCACCAGAAATAGGAAGATAAACATTCCAAAAAATATACTAATGAATGTCCACATCTTCAAATTTCAGACAACAACTAAATTATAAATTGAGGGATTTGTTTGTGTTCTCGTTTAACCTAAAAAATTATTGTATTCACATTGGTCGAATGCTGCTGTACCCCATCAGTTACAAATATTTCAACAGTTCATTCACTGTCAATCCAATTTTGCTTTCTAAATAATAAAATATAACTGGAGTTTTGACGGCAAATAAATTTGTCAAAATATTGGTACACAACTAATGGAGTACAGCAGAATTCATTCGAGATGGACAAAGATAAAAATGAAACAACACATATTACTGAACTGAGAATTCTTCAAACTGACCCTTTCAATAACCAGCAAATAACAAAATGTTTTTTGATTACTTCAAGCAACCATCCTTACACTTAGAATTTTAAATGAGAATGCTAATTGCTCTTGAATACGTCATAAGAACATTTTGGCCATATTTGCAACTAAGAATTGAGTAGGCCAAGACTCCACTAGTGTAAAAACCTTTGACGTAAAAACTTTTAATCACATGACTATTTGCATTTGCATCTGAATTGCAGTGGAGGTCCGGCTAGCAAAGTTTTTACGGTGACAGTACTATCGAAGTTATAAAGACAATGATTATATTCTAAGAGTTTTTTCTGTACTATAATTACAAATGTGGTAAAAATAATATCTTTACTTTCATATATTAACTTCTATTACACAGGTCTGAAAGTAAAAAACTGCATAGGATTTTTATACATTTTCTTATAGATTTCAACTTGGTGAAAACGAAAAAATACCAAAAAAAATTCCATCACGTCAATTTTTTTGTTACACTCAAGTTTTTGTTTGTATTTAGTGTAAAATTCCTAGTTAACTTAAAATTTAGTATTTTTTTTTATTATTTAAAAAATGGCCTTAAAATGAAGACTTCTCACATTAATTCTATCAATTATAGCTGGACTTGGCAATAAATATATAAAAATGTTAATGGTTGAAGAGAATAGTGATAGGGGAGATGGGTTAAGTAGTTTTAGTGTTAAGAGGAAGCTCGCATGCTCGTGTAGAAACAGGTTAAAAGTTGATAGTGAGTAATATTACTGGTGAGGTTGAGCATGTTTCGACATGTTATCTGGATACTAGGAATAAATATAAACAATTTGCTGTTGGATTAGATCATGTTTCAACAAGCTAAATAAGTTTAGTATCTCACTGGCCATCTAATGCCACACTCAGTTTATAGCAAGCATTTGAATGCTACTGTGCTTGTATTTTTATTTCTGGAATGTGGTTCGCAGAGGATGTGTAATTTCTCCAAACAGCTTCTGTTATGTTTGTGGTGAATACACAGAGAAAAGTCAACATCCCCTTTATCTGATCCCCTCTTTTGGAAACAATGGGAGAAAAGGAAAAAGAAGCATGAACTCTTTCAATAATGTAGTACATAAGTTTTTGGGAAATACTAAGGACCCTGACTACAAAACCATTGTACAACGCATGCTGGCAGCGTATAAAGCTCAAAGATGCAAGATGAGTTTAAAAGTTCATTTCTTGCATTCCCATATTTGACTATTTTCCCAAAAACTAGGGAGCCTACAGTGGAGAACAGGGTGAAAGATTTCACCAGGATGTCTGTGATATCAAGAGACGTTACCAAGGAAAATGGGATATCAATGTGTTAGCTGACTACAGTTGGATGCTCAATTGAGTAACCAGAGAAGGAAATCAGAAACAAGTTCGGAGAAGCATCAAAGAGAAGAAGAAATGGGTGTCATAAGAAAAAAGAGTAGACCTAACATTATGTATAAATATCAAAAACAATTTTTTGATTAGTTGTAAGAAAATATAATATATTTAGTTCATTATAATAAATAAGAGTTTTTAATCAAATATTTGTTTTCATTTTGCAAAAAACCTATATGTGATGGGATGTTATGGAAGTCATTTTTAGAATCTCCGATCTTTAAAACATATAATTCAGCAAAAATATCCCATGCAGCTGAAAAAAAATTTTTTTTTTGCAGACCTGTGTTATTGTATTATTAATTAAGATAATATACAGCATTATAAGCTTAGATTTTTTCATATACTCCTCGCTAAGTTTGCAAAAGCAGACAGCCCTTCCTCCTCCTTTATTATTATTATTGTTATGTTTTGTGAGTTATACTCAGTTCACACCGGTGGCTGTGTACTATGCCGGACCAAAGTCAAGGCATAATAACCAAAACAAAGTTATTATTATTATTATTATTATTATTATTATATACTCCTCTAAATTAAAGGATTTTCCTTTGGCCGTCCATATCGCGTGTTTTTGGCATCCATTATTATAATCAGGATACTTCTTGTCATAGATACATGAACACTTTCGGATGTTTTCGATAAATCTTTCCAGATCTATTCTAGAGTAGCCATGAGGGAATGTACACAAAAGCTCGTTTTCCGCCATTTTCGCACTGTGTTACAATGACCTAGATTTCACTGACTTCTGATTGGTGAATGGTACCGTTTTATGGCCGTATTCGCACTGAAAGTTGAACACTGCTCAACTCACTTTTACACAGGTTTTATGACCTGCTCAGGCGTTAAATATCACGTTCACATGATTAAAAGCTTTTATGGCGAGTGGTTTTACGCCTGTTTTTACGCTAGTGGAGTCTTGGCCTTACAGTTAGAAGTTAAGCAATCACCATTCACTTTTAGTACATGAATGCTTACAGGTTAAATTCTAATTAACTCTCAATCCTTGGTTGTGAATATGATTATTGATGTTCTAATTTAAGAATGCAGTTCTAAACTTGCCACTTAACTGAAAACATCTGTTAATTTTCGAGTTTTGTATTGGTTTTTTTTAAAGAAAAAAACTGACTTTTGCTTTTTTAAAAATTGATTTTTGATTCTTGTCTATGCCAATAAATTGACAGGATAATAATTAGATGGTAAAAACAAAACTTCTATCACTTCATGTATAAAGGAGAAAAAAATATTATTATAAATTATCAGTTTGGATTGATAAAAAAAATTTACTTATAACAACAATTAAGATGGATTATTCACAGACCAAATACAAATAACTATAAAATTTATTATGTTATGTTGCCGTATAATCCAACAGATTTGAAAATATATAACAAATTGCAAAATCTTTGTATCCACTTATCATTTATCCTATTACTTATAATAGTATTTGTACAGAATAAACAATTAGTTAACACTGAAATACAAAATTTCTTTAACTGATTAAGAAGCATTTACAGTTTGATAGCACTTGAAATGGCTTAGAAAATGTTCATACAAAATAAATGCTGCTTCTTAATCAGTTAATGGAGTTTTGTGTTTCAGTTGTTTATTGTCAAGGAGTTGTGACACATCAGATTATTCAATATATATATATATATATATAAACACAATAAACAATAGACTGATTAATAAATCCTAAGCAAAATAATCTAATTTTTAGACTGTCAAATGGATCTGAAAGATGATTGTTTTCAGTCTAGATTAAACAAGAAGGATAAGTCCATGGACTGTCTAGATTAAACTAATAATCATGGAATTTAGCCTACAAGTAGATAATTAAGATGCGTGTTTGCACTAAAATTAATAATTAAAAATTAATTTTAAATTTTAATTAAATAATTTAGAAAATACTGAAAATTAAAATCAGCTCAGAGCAGGATTAGAACCTGCAATGTCATATCTGCTTATGCTGCTTTGTTTGAACTTTGCTTCTAGATCCACTGTAAGACAAGACCATATACTAGTTGCCTCCGTGCCAAATGCAATAAAGCAGCAATTAAATCTGAGCATAAGATAGAGCTTAACCACCCGTCTTTAGATGAAATTATGTAATTATTAATTAATTAAATTAGCCTAATTCTAGACTGAAATCAATCTGGATTATAATTATCAAAATATTCAATGATTAATAATTATAATTTTGGCCATTTGCTAGCAGAGACTACTTTAGAAAGATCAAAAGATAAAT